AATCGGGAAGCGAGCAAAAAAAAACAAAACCCACGATGACACTTGAGCAGCCACAGACCTTCTTAGTATTCAACTCCTGTGGATTTATTGTGTTTTCGGTGGTTTGGTTTTTGTTGTGTTTTTTTTTCTTCCTCCCTTCGACTGCGTACATGGGCGCATTTCAAAGGGCAGCCGAACAGAGGTGGCTTTATTAAAAATGCACGCAGCTAATTAATGGGACGTGGGCAGGGGAACTTGTTCGCTCGGGGTGTGTTTGCTTTCGGAAAAGAGGGTATTTTAAAAGAGATCGCGGGGAGGGGAGGGAAGAAATAATTTAGATTCATGTCGAGGAAGAAGCACACAGCTCTGTGTTTCAGTCTTGTTGGTTTTTTAATAATAAATGATAGAGATGCAGGCACTGGTGAGCATTTTAACAGGTGGACTTCCCAGCCCTAGGGATTTATTTTGGTTGGGGCTTTATCCCTTCTTCGGCTGATGAGATCTTTTTGCCCTAATGGATTTGACTTGAGATCTCTTTTTTTTTTTTTTTTCCTTTTGTGTTTCCAAGTATTGGACTGGAACATCTCCATGAAACACCGTGTGTGTCCTGCATGCCAAGTTCAAGGCAGGTGACTGCTTGGGTGTAATGTCACACTCAGGAAAGGGGACACACACACACGAGCGTTGAGACTTGCTGTCTGAAGGGCGATGCCTTGGCAGGTGCCTGTCAAAAATCAAGTTTGATATGAAGAAATGGCAAGATTGAAATAAAGTCACTCAGTAGGAATAGCAAATAACGAGTGCTGAAGCTTCATAGGCAGGTCTGGAGCATCACACATACTCCCAGCTCAAAACTAGAGGGGCAGCGACCCATCGGACTTGTCTGAAACATGTTTTAGGTCCGGGTGCGTTAGCAAACCTACCGAGGGTTTCATTTCTGTGGAGAGCAGGTTTGGTTTGTGGGGGTTTGATATCGAACACGCTCCCGACTCGGAGGCAGAGTTAGTGCAGGACTGGGCTGGAGCCTGGTGGAGGGGGTGAAAGTGAAACACGTGGAAAAGCAAAACTGAAATTGAAGACGTGGTTTTATTTCTGTCCTAATGGAGCTGTGAAAAGATTATGTGCGCTGTCAGAAATAGATGATTATTTTGCCAGTTCTCAGTTGCCACTCATCACAAGTTTACTTATGCCTCAGTGTATAAGACAATCTATTTAACCTTCCTTTAATAGGTAAGTTCAGTTATGATGGTACATTATTAGCAATTCTTATTTTATCCGGGTTCTCTTTTTGAATGTGGAAAGTCAAATAGAAAGTGACACTATAAAGACATCCTAGAGAGAAAATTACGTTTTTTGTGCCTTGAAAGTGGAGGAGATAAAAATCACATTTTCCATGTGAGTCTGCACTCACAGACTCTTTTTCTATCAGAGTTGATTAGAAAGATAGTTACGTATAAATAGTTGTCTCTCGTAATTGGCCTTTGCCTCTTGCAGGAGTCATTCCGTAATGTCACAGGTTAGTGTTTACTGTTGTGAAATTGATACGGATTTCGCAGCGCCTGAACTGTGACATCCGAGGCAGAAGAAGGAGACCAAAGAGAAAAGGGTGTGCTGTGTGGATTGGTTGGTAACACACCATCTGTTGATGATGTGAGCCCGTCCAGTGCTTACTCTGTCCCAGAAAAAACTTCAGAGCACCTTATTGAGATAGTCAGTAACGACCAGATTGAGAAGAAATCCATTCCTGCACTAAACCCAGCCGCCTCTGGGATGAAATGTGGCGACTTTAAGGCAGCAGCTGTAGATGAGAAGAATATTGTGACCAGCTGGATGTATGGAGGGAAGTGCTAGAGAAGAAACTGCGTGTAATCTATATAGCTCAGGACCATGAGTCTATAAGTCATTTAATTCCTGGTTTCCACATCCTCGCTCCCAGCAGATCCCCTTGGGAGGATGAGAATGTGGAGCGGGGCAGGTTGACATTGGCTGACCACTGGGTGCCCACCAAGCCACCCTGTCACCTCCCTCTCCTCACCAGGACAGCAAATGGCGATGGAAGGCAATCAGCGTAAATCCCGTAGTTTCAGCCTGGTGAAAGGAACCTTTACTTCCTTGATGTCGTATCTCGAACTTCACCCTTACCCGTTTCACTTGCTGGGCGTGCTCGCTAGGCAGAGGAACCCTTTGCGTAGCACCTCTTCGCTGACCTCTGCAACTCCCTGCTGTGGTTTTATTTTTTTTTTCCCCCCTCATTTTCTTTCCAGGCCCTTTTCTTTCTGTTGCCTCACTGCGTTAGGCTTGCTTCTAGTTTACTTATTGGGTTGTTCCTCCTCTTGTGCCCTCAAGACAGGCGTGCTGTCCAAATAAACAGCACAGAACAAAAAAGTTTGGCTTCCAGGAGACCTTTCCCATCCCGTAGCTGTTTTGTCAGAGGTGCAGGTGAGCTGCTTGAGGGAGGAGGAGCTGCTTGTGCCGCCCTGCCTTTCCATCGTGCTGTTCAAGTGACTCTCCCAAAGTGCTTTTTCCTGAGTTAATCTCTACCTCACTTTTTGTGAGGCAGGTAAACATAAAAACCAGTTCACGGAGGGAGTAGCCGAGAGCATTGGGAGCCGGGAGGGCGTTAAAGGGGTGAGGTGGGGAGGCGGCTGTTTCACACACTGAATATATTGTTCAGTCTTGCCGAAGGACAAAGTGTGTGCCAGTAACAGAGTCAGAAATAGCATCCAGGAGAGCTGCCTTTAGACATTTTTTTTTTCCTTGGGCTTTCTGTGTCCTCTGTACACACACGTAAACAAAGCTCTGGCTTTACTGAACACCTGCCTGGCATTACAGGGGAGACCTTCTCAGCAAAATATTCTGTTCTTTGAAATGGAAATTCAATCGTGAATTATTATTATTATTATTATTATTATTGGTTTTAATCCTGCAACATCTCCGAATAGGAGGTGCTAATGGTAATTCTCAGGGTCATCACAGACGTTAGTTTCTGTAGGGGAATATCCTGAGGTGTCCCTGATCACCCTTCCTTCAGAATTCAGAGACCAGTGACACCAGTATGAGTCGGTACAGCGAAATGATGCAGCCCTAACGTACGCTGCTTTTCCGATTGAGGTGAAGCTTGAAAGTTTCCCCTGGTCTCTGGAAAGGTAAAGATTTCATTAGAAATCTGCTTTCCATCTGTGAAGCAAGAAGCCAGATAATTGGCATCTGGTGGGATAATTTGCTGTGAAAATGAACACAGTAATTTAGGGCAGGCGTAGCTATTCCCTAAAATCTGTGAAATATTTGAGCCGAGTTTCTCCAGCGCGAGCAAAGTTTTTTTAGGAGGTGCTGAAACAGAGCACATTTTCTGTGGTTAATTTGATGTACGTGAAATAAACTGCAGATATATTGATAAATTATGTAGTAAAACTGCAGCAATGCGTTCAGTGTTCATTTTTTCCAGATCACTTGAGTTCTAATTTTTTTTATCATTTTTCATTCCAGATTACCATCATGAGATATATAAGATCTCTGACTACAGCGATGATGTTAATGGGGAGACCAAAGAAACACAACCAGTTTTTTTAGGTATGTGCTTGTGTTGATTAATTTCTGAGCAACATAGCGTGGCCATTTGCAATTAGGGAGGGAAAAAAAAAAATCTCTGTGCAAGCACAGGAAGCGCCTGCCATTGTTTAATATGACGTTCTTTTCAAAACCCTTTTATTCTACGAATTGCCAATATATCCTTTATTAACACTGCTAAAAGTTGTAATTTCAGACATAAATGTTTATTAGTGTCTACACACAGTGCTAATTATCACTCACTCGGAGAGCCAGATGCTGACTGTGCAGTTTTGCAGCGCTGTGCTCACCCCATTTACATTGCATATTCGCTGGCATGCTTCACTGGCAATAGTTTGTGTAATTGGGGTATTACATCTTTGACATCTGGATAACAGAAATTCAATTTCCAGGAAGCTGCTATTTGTTTGGTTTTGCTTCTGCCTTGGGTGGGATAGAGGATTAATGTGCTGTCTTAATGTAATGTCCTTTCACCTCTGTAGCTTGCCTGCTAATCCTGCCATGGCAAAATTAAATTAAATCAACAGTTAAAAATGTGTAAAGAAAACAGAGAAGTGATATAGAGTCTGGAGCGTGATATATACTGCAGCATGATAGGACTGGTGAACCTGTATCTTTTCTGTCTGTGTGCTTTTTGTCCTGGGTAACTGCTCAGCTGCAGAGTGCTTCTTCCTTTCCTGCTTCCAGCTCCCTCCTGTCTCATAAAGGAGGGCCTAATTCAAAGGAGTAAGGGCCAGATTTCTGAGCTACCATAATGACTCTTGATACCTTTTGGATACCTTGCTGAGGCTTTGGACAAAGCAAGTGCCTTCGCGGTGAGAAATTTGGAGGTGTCTGCCTCTCCTTAACTGCACCAGAAGCTCAAACAGTTCTGTAGGGTGATTTAAGGTTTCTGTAGACTGTGCGTGTTGCTCCCTGGAGCCATCAAGAGGCATTGGTCCCAAGTGTGTGCATCAATCTGAAGTCAATCTGCGTGCAAAATGCCTTTGTCTCTGTAATTCCTAGTGCCACATCCTCTTCTAGAGGTCAGCAGCGAGTGGGAGAGAGCAGGAGGATGTCTTGGGCAGAGTGGAATCTTCTGATGGTTGGAATACTTAGACGGGGGTGAGAGCTGTTTTAAATTGCCTTCTCAGCTTCTCGCAGTTAGGGTTTGGGGCAAGTACTGCCACCCTACACCCACTTCCCAGGGAGAAGCGAAGGTGGCAGCTCTCTTTTGTGTTCGGATTTTGTGTTCTGGAAGCACTTTCCATGAAGTCTGATAAACCTGATGGAGTGAACTCCATCCGAGAGTTACTTTGAATGCTTTTTCTTCCCAGCCTAAATTATGATGAAGCTTTGACAGGAGTCAGGCATCTAGTTGCTTAAGCCAGGATGCTTTTAAGAATGTGCAGGAGGAGTCTGTGCTTTGACATCTGTGCTGTGAGTCAAACCAACTGATTTTGATTTTGGTTTGGCTGTGTTGTCTTTGTTGTTTTTTCTTGAGTATGCCCAGCTTTTCACTGTGACTGAATGTGCTCTGGCATTTAAGCACCTGAGGTTCACTCATTTCAAGAGCCAGTCAGAATTTAACCTTTAAGAATGTGAGTCTTACCAGAGACCTTCCTTATCAGGTACTGGAGCACAGAGCTGTAGTCCTGGGAGCCCACCTTCAGGTGTTATGAAAAGAAAAAGGAGCTATTTCCTGATGATGTCCTGAGTGTCCAACTTTCAGAATTCCTCAAATGTGTGATTTGGGCAAGACTGAATGACGTACGACCGTGCAAGATCCATAGACCTGGCTTTTTTTCTTTTTGGGTTTTTTTTTGTTTGTTTTGCCTCGGGGGATTGGGTTCAATTCAGTAAGTTACTCAGAGCTCACATAACCTTCTCCACTTTATTTTCAACAGTTTGCTTTGGTGTCTACTTTATCCAGATTCCTAGTGACAAAGGCACTGATCTAAGACATAGAGAAAACACTGTCAGGGACTGAAGTCAGCTGAAAGCAGCCAAAATCTGAGCTCCCACCTTTTAGCAGGGATTTGGGATGAGTGGCGTTTGGCATTCCAGCTTTCCTTCAAAAAACATCCCGTTGCGTGGAGTGATTTTTCGTTGTGCTTCAGGGACAAGGGGGATCACAGCACTTTCTGCTGTCTGCTTCAAGGTCTACTCGCTACATCACTTGATTTCACTCTTTTATGCCAAAATTCATGGCAGAAGGATGTTCACTCCAGGTTGTTGGTTTAGAATCGAGTTTGTTCTTCGATTTAACTGATCCATGGAATCAACTGTTGAAACTGCAGTGTGATGTAGCCTCTAGTATGTGAACGGGTGCTAAGAGAACATTGAAACTATTACCTTTAGAAAAGGTGAAATGTTAATACCAGTGTAGAAACAAGTGAAACTGTATCAGGAATGGGATGTGGGTGTGTTTTGGTGGAGAGCTCAAACTGAGGGGGTTGTGGTGTTGAGCATCATGGACTCATAGAACGGCCTAGGCTGGAAGGGACCTTAAAGATCATCTAATCCAACCTCCCTGCCATGGGTGGGGTCGCCTCTCAACTAGTCCACGTTACTTAAGACCAAGAAGAGGGGAGCTTCTAGGGTAACTGAGCAAATCAGAAGAATCTAAGTTGTTTAACATGCAGATATATTGAAGATCAAATGTCAGGAAAGACCTGTTCAACCTAGATGGTGTTTTTTGCAACAGCACAGCTGGGCAAAACATGGCTTTGTGTAAACGTAGGCTGAAAGTTGGAGCAAGCTTCTGCCTGGTTAGAGGGACACGGTGCCGGACGTGGCCTCTGCTGATTGCGATGGTGTGAAGTCCAACTGCTTTTTGAACGGAACGTGTGAGATGCGGTGTTGGAGTGGGAGATGCGATGGCTCATCCTCTCCTCTCATCCTTTGTTGTGGGAAGATGATAAATAAGTCACATCCTTCTAGGTGAAGGACACGCAGCCTTCACAGCCTTCACAAAATTTGTCAGGGTGGGACTATTGTTGCGGTATTTTGCAGATGAGGACTCGCATCTCTTTTAAAGGGAGGGGTTGAGTTATCTGATACTGGGAGAGACTGCTTGCCTTGAAAACGAGGAGGCAGCCCAGGGTGAAGTGCTTAAACCTCAAATACGGACAACATTTTTAAGAAAGACCTGATTTGAGCTTTTACCAGTTACCAGCATAAACCTTTTGCCACGGGGCTGCTAGCCCAGGCCTAGAAATAGAAGCCCATGAGGGGACTGTACGCTGTGTCTTGTCACAATGCTGGTTAAACCTAGCTTGTCTGTAAAGAAAAAATGCTTTTTACATACACTATGTTGTGGTTTTTTTCAGTCTTAGTATTTTATTATCATCACAAAAAAGCCGAAATATACTATACCTGCAGACTGAGTGTTTTTACAATGCTTTCAACTTGAAATTCAGGCTCTATGTTTGAAAGGTTAATGTAGAAAACTAATTATATTATCCTGGTAATCAAATGTGTGATGAGACATTTGTCTGTGTAATTAACAGTGAAGAACTTTTATAGTTTCATAAAATCGAACGCTACGCACAGTGTGCTTGGAGCATTTGTTTTGAAGAGATGTCCAAAACAGAGATGTTTATGACTGATATAAAGTGGAACTGAAATGTACTGTAATGCAGGTGTCTGTGCATTTTACAGCGTCTCACATTGTTGAAATGGAAGGCAGCAGATTAATAACTTCTCTGTGTCACGGTAAAAATAAGTAATGTGTTCTTGGAGCAGGGGAGCGATGCATAAGTTACTCACTAATTTCAAGAATTTATTCTGTCCCAGAAATAATTTCCTTTGCAATTTATTCCCAGAGAAAAAGTTGACTTAAGACAAGTCTGTGAAACTACTTGTTAGTTTTAACAGAATTATATCCCACTTGTGATTGTTGCAGTAGTAGCTTCTGTAATTAAGACTGCATAAAAATTTATTTTATGGATCTGTGTTCACAGATGATCTAACTTTGTAAAGCATTTTCCTTGGGGGCTGAAGCATGATCTTGACCTGGGATATTTCCAAGAACTGGGGGAAGTTGTTGCATTATTTTTTTTTTAATTACATTACCCCTTTAATATATACGGTTATTGAACAGTTGCTCACTTGTCCTTTCCTGAGTGCTTTAGCTGTGGCAGCCTGGCATCAAAGTGTGTAGCGTATGTTTCTGTATCTGCTCCTGTTGGGTGTTTTGCAAGTGTTTCACCAGGCTCTGCACAAGAGGTATTTTGTAGTGGTGGTGGCTGGACCTCTGGGTCTGATGGAGCTTCCAGAGAAAAAACCCACCAAATCCTGAATGGCCTCAGGGCCTGATCCTGCTTTAGACTCTGCAAATTGCTTTGCTTACTTTAGTGTTTGTGATGCTTATTAACTTTCTGTGTCTTCTGTGTCGATCAATCCACTTGGTCTGTGAGTAGAGGGTCTCATTCGATGTTGATCCAGGTTTTTCCAGCAAATATAATCTTGGTGCTTTTTGTGGTGACAGGAGGATAGGTAAATGCTTTTAAATGGCTTTTTAGACCACTAAGATGCCTCAACTAAGCTTAAATGTCCCAATGTGTGAGCTTGGGGTAGTCGCAGTCCCTGGCTCATAACTCATGTTGCCTGCGTGACCCTCTGGTGTTGTTTGTGACCGCTGCTCTCCCTGCTGACTTGGGGTTTAGGTTTTTAATTTGCCAAGCGTGTTGTTGCCTGTGTTACTTGTTCAGTGTAGGTCCCCATGTGCCACCAAAGACTGGGGATCGCTTATTTGAGAATCGTGTACTTACCCCATCAATTTAGCTACACAGATGCCTGATTCAGATTGCCCACGGAGCAGTCACAACAACTTGCCCTGTGATTTAGGAAACCTTTCGTCTGATAAGGATCCGCGCACTTGGCTCCTCTATTTTCCTCCTGCTGACCTTCACAATTTTCTATTTCAGGACCACTGACAGTATGAGACTGACAGTGGCAAAAATATCTTGAGTTTTGAAAGTTACCGCTTTGATGTGGGTGTAGTTTTTGCTGGGAAGGGG